GCTGCAGGCACGTGGCTGCATTTCCAGAATCAAAAGTGAGTATCTGTTCACTTGCATATTGGTTCAATCTATGCAGCTTAGACTAACCTACAAAGATTGAATCGGTTCAGTCTTGGGCTTTTTAACTGTCTGTACTTAGCCTTGGGGAATTTGGGAGGGAGGGCAAGAAGATGGCTACTGGCATCCACATTGTGTGTTAGGTTCTTTCCTACAGACATTCAAAAAGCCTGAGGAGAGTTAATCTAAGTTATGTGCTTTTCTGTAAGAGGCATAGTTTAGAGTGGTAACACGTTTGCCCTCTGTTTTGTGGGGGTTGCCAAATCTTAGATCAGGTTCCACCCTTTATAAATCAGTCTGTATGCACTGAATTTCTATTCTGTTATGGGTATAGATCAGTTTCCAATCATTTATACTAATAAAAGTATAATGTCTGTCCCTGGCCAAAAACATTATTTGAAATCTGAGGAGCCAGAAATCTAGGGCTACAAATCTCTGCACAATAAAATCAAAGAGACTGTGGGAAGAGCAATCCTCTTGCTAACAAGGGACTGAAATTTTTAAGTGTATGATATACCCTGTTGAATTTGTATATGCTGGTTAGATTGGGATTCAGTGGTAGGAGGGGAAAGGACTGAACAACAAATTCCCTCTGTAAGGTGTGCATATACATGCTCTCCTCTCCCTTTCTCTTTATTTTAACTTTGCCTTTTTCAATGTTGTTCTGTCTGTTCCTTTTTCTGTTCTTTGGTTGTTGAAATAAATCCTTGTCTGAACATAAATCTTTTATCCATGAAACTCCATGTTTTGATGGCAAGCTTGAAGATAGTTGTGAATTTAGGCATCAGTGGCGGAGAAATTTATGTGGCCTAAGTGGTGGGAGCCCTTCTCCCACTGTCGTCATAAGTGATCTTCATTAAAGCTGCTGTCAATGCTACTTGACTATGTAAGATCACCAACAAAGGTGCTGTCCCTAGTTTCTCTACTTTGAGTGTATTGGAGGGGAGGGTCGCTTTTTCAGCCTGTGCCCTTTCTGAGATCACCTAAGACCCTAGAATCACATCTTTCTGTTTGAGCACCCTTAGCACCAGTGTATTACCCTTTTCATTATTTTCAGTGGACTTCATGCATCAGCAGACTTTTTTTGCTTTCATCTTTAGATGTATAGAAAATTGGTTGTGTAAGCTTTAGTTGGTAAAGACCCCTCACAGTTCTAGCAGGAAATGTCTTGTTTTATTTTGGCTGAACTTTTGTTTGGGTATCTGTTTTGCTTATCTATGTTTCCCTGCTATATCCTTAACTTGTGGTGTAGCCATGCTTGATGCTGCAAAATGAATGAAGCAGTTTCTGGATGTTTAGAAGGTCAAATTCTACTCTTCTGATTAGAGGATTCAGGGAAGAAAAGAATTGCTATATTTACTTGAATATAAGATAAGTTTTTATTCCAAATCAGCATGGGAAGAAAAAAGCTCTTTATCTTACATTTGCATGCAAGTAAACCTCATTAAATACATTGTCTATCATTAAACTACTGCCAAAAGAAGCATGTGCTTGGTAAGAGAAACCAACTATGAAGTTGATTAAATGCAGCCAACACTGAGCATGACTATAAAAACATGGGCCATATTGGGAAAACATTAATGGCAACTTTCTTTAAAAAAAAAAAAAAAAAATCAAAATCCCCCTCTGCCACATTAAAAAGAAAACAGTTTACATCACTTTACATAACACTTCTCTAAAGTAACATCAAATGTCCTTATTTACATCCTTTAACATCTCTCTCTCTTCACAAATGACATTACCTGTCATACTTTCATCAGTTTCCTCAATCCCATTTTAAATTGCTATTTCCCCCTGCTCCTCCTGTCCCCACTTAGAATTTTCCCAGAACAATGATCCCCAGTGTTTTTATCTCCACTTGTTTATGCTCCCAGCTTCTCTTCATCCCTTGCAATATACGTTTGCAGTTCATGCACAGCTAGCTGCACGCATTCTCATGGTGTGAAGAATAGTCCCTTGCACTCAGGCAGGTTCTGTGTCTTCCAGATGGCCAGTTTCACACAATTATCAAAAGTCTCAGTTCTCAGCTCGTTTGTCCTCTTTGGTTCCGTCTGTATCACTATCTCATATGTCAATACATTACACCACTGGGTTTTTTTTGCAAACCTCCCTACCCTCTTCCACACTTTCTTTGCGTATTCATACTCCCAGAACACATGATAAATTGACAATCTGTTCTCACAGTTTTCCTTTGGACACTTTTCCAATCTGTATAATCCCTATCTGCGTAAACTTTCTCTTACTGGGAATACATTTTGTGCTGCCATCGACGTGATTTCTACATGTTCCCTCTTTGCCCGTGCTTCCCACATCTCTTTCCACATTTGGGCTGACGGACTCTTGTTGTTATATTGTCCCTTTATATTCCTTTCAAGGCTTTTGCTATTTACTCATTTCTTTGGGTTCCCTTCTAACATATATTGTGTATATTGTATCATTAACTTCTCAGCTGTTGCATAGCGGGCTCTGGGGATACAGGCCCAACACATTTTCTCTCTTTCCTTCCCATGTCCTTAAGACCTTTCTGGCTAAGTACTGGCAAAACCTTGCCTTCTTACTCCCATCATTCACATTCTGCTGATAATTTTTTTTGTAAATAAACACCTCTGTGTCAGGTATTCCCCATCCTCCCGTTTGTTTTCCTTTGTATATCTGTTGCCTTGACACCCACTTTCTTTTGCTGCCCCAGAAAAAGGTGTATAACTCCCCCTGTATCCTTCATGCTTGTCGCTACATTGGAGGAAACACAGTTCCTACATAGAGGATCACTGGCCTTTACCAGTTCCACTTTTCCTTGTTTAGATAGCTTCCTTGTACTCTAGAGGCCTGTTACTTGCTGTACCTTGGTGATTTTTTTTTTTCCCCCAGGCTATGTCACCTCTCTCTTTTTCATGTCCGTCTGTATGCTCAGGTTCTTCATTTCTTCTGTTTGTAGCTGCAAGCCGTAGACTTCTAGCCTTTTCCAGTTCCCTATTCATCATAGTCCATCACATGTTTCAATACTCCATCAATTGACAGTTTGTCTTTTCTTAATACTGTGATGTTGTCCATATGTAGCATGCACTTAATTTTGTCTCTGCTGGAGATTTTCACCCCTGTGATTTATGGGAACCTACCAGAAAGATAGGTTAGTGAAGCCCATCTGAACAAAAAACCTTGGCAGTGTCCATTGTGCTCAGTCCCCTTCGGTGCTGATTCTTTTAAAGGCATGGTGAACCACTACATCAAATACATTTTGACTTCCTTTTCCCTGCCACAGCTGAGCTGTGCCTTTCTTACTCATTTTCAATTATGTTTGTTTCTTCACCAGCCTTAATGTCTGGCAAATATCACCAAACAGGGCCCCAAACAGTTTACCTGATATCCCTGTCACCCCCTTTCAGCCTGGAGCTCATAATTTGTGGCTTTGCCCTCCATGAAGTGGAGCCAGATCAAGTTGCCCTGCACCTTATCTGCATATAAATTTTGGAGGATCCCACGACTCATGACACAAACACCCAGTTCCATTCCCGAGTGGGGGCTAATTAGCACATGGATCCTTTGTGGGGGGTATCTGGAGTAAATGTACTGAGCAGTGCTGATCTATGGGGCCCCCTTGGCTTGAAATGTTGTTGACTCTGCTGGGGCCCAGCCCAATGAATGATATGGTAAATCACAAACCTTTTGGCTTTGGACTAATATCAGGGCTAGTTGTACTATATGTAAAGTAGGTACAAAAGTGCTATTTAAAAGTGTATTTATGGTATACCTCTGCTGAAACTTGTAGCAGTTTCAGAAATAGTAATATGTCTCAGTTATGGATGAACTAAGACTCTGGGGGTTACTGTTGCTCATAGTAATTGCCTATATACAAATTACTATAGGCATGTTTATTTCAAAGTCATGGTTTTCAAATTTACTCCTTACTTCCATGTGCTTAGGAAGAGCAGGGTCTGACAATAAGCAGGGGCGGAAGGAACTGCAGTGGGAAGAAATTGGGGGGGAAGATGGCAAGGGAGCTATAGCATTGGGAAGGAGATTAATTCAAGGTAGACCTCCAATAATTAGATTCTGTACCTGGAAAATTATAACAAATTCATAAATTGTCCATAAATAGAATCTAATTACTGGGGGGTTATATTATATCAGGGTCATCTTTATTTGAGTAAATACAGCATTTTGAGTAGCTGTCTGCTTATTCATTAGTATTCGTGTCCAGGTAGAGTTCTTCTCCCCTTACCTTTCGGGACCCCTTTCTTAAGAAGGTAAAATATTGGCTGTTTAGTGCATGCTAATAGTACCCCTGCAGATGCGCTGTTGTCCATGGAATACTCCTCAGCATAATAGTTAAGAAGCTCTAAGGCCCTAGTGTGCCTAGTTGCTCTGTAAGCAACAACATGCAGGATCATTGTAGGCAAAAGAATCCTGTTTAAATCTTCAATGGAGCAAAAGCATTCACCTATAAAAGAAACAACTGAACCTGCGTTCTTAAAAGAACAAAATTCTGTTAATGTTCTGAATTTTTAAAATGCTAATTTCATGGTTAATTGTAAGTAACATGGAAGTGTCTTTACTTAAATAAAAGTAAAGATACGTAAAATTAAACTGGAAGAAATGTCTGGGCTAGTTTGAAATGAGCCAGCTTTTGTACCAGAAGTACTGTAGAGACAGTAGCACAAGCCAGTTCTCTCTGCAGAGCAGATCCATTTTACCTTAGGTAAACAGCTAGGTTTTGGTATTCGATCTAATTAATTTTGGTGCTAGCTTGGGGATTTTTACTTTTAGTGTAGATTTACCCTATAATTTAGGAATAGAGATTTAACCTTATATATTTTTTGTGTTAAGCAATTTGAAACAGGTGGCAAAACTGCTTAAAAGGATTTAACATTTCGTAATAGTGATGTGAAAACAAGCACAGAAGTTAGAGGGAAATAGCTTTTAACATTTTTTTTTTCCCCCTTGAGTTTGCAGGTTTTCATACTTTGCCTGTGTAGAACCTGAACTTTCAGAAGAAATTGCAGAACTTCCTGGAGTGACTGCAGAAGAATTTACTGGAGAGCGTGTGTGTATGTGTCTGTGTCCTGACAATATTCTGAACACTTGTGATACCTTTTGTGAGGGATGAAGGTGCTGTCATGTCATTCGTGGACAGTAATATTGATATCAAAGAATTCTTGGAAAACATCAATTTAGGGCAATATATCCCTAATTTTAAAGACCATGGATATAATACTGTACCAGCTTGTGTAGGAATAAATAATAATGTGCTTCAGGAAATTGGAATATTGCCTACTGGACACCGCAGAAGAATTCTTAAGCAGTTAGAGACCATATTTTCAAAAATGCAAGAGCAGGCTACTTTTTCAGAACATCTGACACGCAAAGCCTTGGAGGAATTAGAGCAAAGCCAGTCATTGCACTCTGACCAAGATTCTAAAATATCCAAGTCAAATTCAAATGGGGTTGCAAGAGCTAGTCCAACATCACTATTACTGCCAGTAAATTTTTCTAGTGAAAACTGTGTTGGCAAACTAAAGAATGAAATGCTTGAACAGGAATCAGCGGAAGCGAAACATGATAGTTTTTCAGATTTGGAGTTTTCTAGTTCATCATATCATAATTCAGATTGCTCAGGAGAAGCTGTGAGTATTGAAAGTATTGAAAAGAGTGCAAAATGGGATGTGTCACAGGAAATGGCAGACGTGCTGCCAGGTTACTTACATTTAGACAGTTGTTCTGCATGTGCTGAAGATCCATCTTCTCAGCCTTCATTTGCTTTCTGTGAAACCAAATCCAGTGAGAATGACACTTTGACATTTACAGAAATGAAAAAATTATCAAAACAACTGCCAGATTCACCATTCTTTGAGTTTAAGGGTGAAATGATAGACAATGACTTGTATGGTACGTGCACAGACAGCTGTACCAAAACAGTTCCAAGAATGACAAGGTCTTTTGTGCTCCGACACCGGCCTGTACCAAAAATCCCAGGTTCTCCTAAAGGTACAGCTTCAGTCAGGTAATTTTTTTTTCTTTTAATAAAAAAATTATCGCAAGCGTGGTGAAACTGATAAGATAACTAAAAAATGGACAATGGTTTTAGTGACTTATTGTAATTTTTCTTTTGTTTTAATAAATTTGGACAGGATGTTGTTGAATTAGTCTGTAATTCAGCGTAAATCTGGTTGGTCATCCACTCAGGTTAAATTTGCCATTTTAAATCTTTAAGAACTTGCTCTTTAAAAAAGATCAACTCTAGGTTAAAGAATTAACGTGACTGTTGAAAAGTATTCAATGTTTAGATGCATCTATAGCATCCCTTTATAATAACCTATAATATTGGTTGCAAACCTATAATATTGGTTGCAAACAGTTTTGAAACTGGTTCAGTAAAACCACAAAAACCAAGATTTTTTTTTTTTATTTTAAGATTGCTATCAGTGCTATTTATAGGTCACATTGCTTTCAAACCCAGACTCTTAAAAAGAAATGAATAAATATACTATAAGTCTGTTACTACCCATATAAAATTTATTGGATGATATTCTGACCCCATGAAGCTATTTTACTATTGGTTTCAGTGGGGCAATATTCTGTTAGTTAAGTAGAAACAGTAAAATGAATGTATCTTAAACTTGTAGGCTTGTTTTCATGTGGAAAAGTGTCAAATGCTTTTTTTTTGCTGTTTGTATGTATATAGATTTAAAGAAAGCTTATACATAGCAATGTTAAAAAACTTTGTTTTTTTAATGGAAAAACATCTTTTGGACGTAATGGAAATATATCTTTCTTGTGTGATTAGTACAACAAATACTAGTCTGAGAGGAGCAATATGTGACTAGAAGGGGGATTAAAGTATGGGCACCTTAAATATGTAGTTTTTTAATTTCATAGTGATTGATTTTAAACCTAACAATATTCTGTTAATTTTACAGTAGTTACCCTTATTCCGTAGTAAAAAAAAATGCACCTGCAGACCTTAGGTTAAAATCTGTGCTAAAAAATGTAAAACAGCCAATTGTAGAAGCAACATTAAGCCAGCAATACCAAAATTAATTAATAACACGCACAGAAAAATCTCAGAAAGCACAGTTTTCCACCAGCTATAGCTCAGGAGTGCTCAATCCCTAGCCTGTGAGCTAGATCCAACCCATTTGGCCCACATGAAAATTTGGTGGTGGCACCAATTGGTGCTCCTCATTGCTGAATTTCCAGACCTGTGGGTAGAAAACCAGAATGAAGAAAAGTATATCTTTCCTTAGAGTAGGTAAAGTGAGTAACAATAGCTAGGGAGCTGAGCCTGCTCATTGTTCTGTTCTCTGTGACTGTTTCACTTGCAGGGCAAAAACTGCTGTTAGCATATTTCCTTGTTATAATGCACAACCCAATTTTCAGCAAGTGCATTTTGAATAAAGGTATTTATAAAGGTTTTGGAATAAAAGTGGTATTTGAAAGACAATAAGATAAATTTATCCTCAATAATTCAACCCAAAGTTGTAACATAACATACTTGAACAACTATGGCTTGACAGAAATGGGACTAAATATTTAGTCTGAAGTCAGGCAGAAGGCAGGGTAGATTTGTACCTTTTACAGACCAAATTAGAGAGATGCAACATCTGTGTGTGTGTGTCTACAGAGATCTGCTATATGTCTCTGATTTAGTCTATAAGGCTAAGTATAGACAATCAAAAAACTTGAGGCTGAATCAGTTCAATCTTCACAGGTTAGTATAAGTTGCATAGATTAAACTGATAAGCAAATGAACAGAGATTCACTTTTGATTCCAGAAATGCAGCCGCATGCCTGCAGTAGCCCAGACCAGAAGCTTTGGGCAGGGGGGGGGGCACTAGAGAATGCCTGCCTGCTCCATTGGAACAGACAGCTTGGGCCAAGGCTAGCTTGCCCACCCTCCTAGGGGGGTTTGCGGAGGAGGTGCAAAGCATCTCAGGATGCTGTGAGACTGTGAGTTAACTTGAATCTGGAGGGGAACAGGGATAGAAGTTGAATAAACTGATGACCTAAATTGGTTAAGTCTGATGCTACATCCATCCACATTTATCTTAACCTGGTTTGGCGATTTTTGAAAGCAGTTTGTGTGCACTGAACTTCTGTTGTGTTACATATTTGAACAGGTTTTCTGATCACTTACACTTGTTTTTGTGTTACTTTTGTCTGTAGCCTAAAGGTGCTACCTCTGCTTCAGAGAAATGGGCTAGGGTAGGGGTCAGCAGTCTGGGCTGTAGACACAGGTGGAGGGAGAAAAAAAAATGGTGGGGGCTGAGTGTGAGCGTGACCCTGCAGGTAGGAAAGTCAGTAGGAGGGGAGGGAAAAGGACTGTGCGGAGGAGGGAGTGGGGCTGGGGCTGGGCAGGGATTGGGATGGAGCGAAGCAGAGCTGGGCCTAGGATCAGGATTAGGGCTGGGGCCTGCTGTGTCCGTGCGGCCGCCCCTTCCCTTCAGAGAAGGGCATCCAATTTGATGCTAGGACCCAGCAGCTCCTGCTTCTGTTTTTCCCTGTGGTGCCACATGGGAGAGCATCCTCAGCAGCAGAAGAAAGCAACTATTGTCAAAGTTTCCTGTTGCTGTCATGCTAGCCACAGACACTCTCCCTGTGCTGCTGTGGGAAGAAGCAGTGGCAGCAGGTGCTTTCCTTGTGCTGCTGTTGGGAAAAGCTGATATGATGGTGGCTGGATCCTAGCACCCACTTCTCATGCACTGGCCCATCTGTAGCCCAAACTGAATAGGTCTGTTTCCACAGCTGGAACAGGTTGCCGACCCCTGGGCTGGAGTAACTCCAGCTGAACTTGACAGAAAATGAAAGGCAGTGCTTTGTTAGAAGTGCAGTGTTTTGTTAAAATAAGGTGTTTTAACTTAAATATGCCTAAATAACCGTAAATAGGCCCAGATAAGATTTTGTGCTTTTAGGGCTGTTTGAGTATTGTTGTAGAAAGATAGCCAAAATAGCCCTCTGCTCCTTTCTCAGATCAGCTTCATTGAGCAGGAGCAGCTCTAAATAACCCAGGTATTCCTCATCACATGCTGTCACCCCGTTTGGAGGGGAAGAGGACTGGGGAAAAATAGGCAGCTTGATGTATCCCTTGTATCTCTTAACTTTTTTAAAGTTACTGAATTTGTTTGGCCGCAGTAATTTGCCAGTCTACCTCTGACTGAAATCAGTGGAATTGAGGTAACTGAGGCCTCTGCCAGGCAGAAGGAAAACTATTCCTTTTTTGTGTGTGGTTATTCAGTGCCATATGTACTCAAATATAAGATGACCCCCCAATAATTAGGTTCTATATATGGAAAATTTAGAAATTTGTTACAATTTTTGAGGTGTAAACTCTATTGGAGGGTTGTCTTGAATCCCCCCCCCCCC